ATTACTCTGTTGGTAATTTTTCTATCTATATTTATGAGAACTATTAGTCTGTTGCTTTCTTCTTTTAGTGTGTTATTGTCTGGCTTTGGTACCAGGATTGTGTTTGCTTTATACTGGCTTTCGTGGTTGGTGTGCAACTTTGCATAATAGTTGTGTTATTGGTCTCCCAATTAGAGATATTACCTGGTGTTACTGGTCTCCCAATTAGAGATATTACCCTATCACAGACAGCATTGTACTTCAGTCTATATCTTATAAAGTTCTTTTTGTTGAACATGAGGCCATTTCAATTTGTCATTCCGGCATAATAAACCATATGATTGTCCAATTCAAAATGGCTAATACTAGTCCATTTCTACTCACTAATACCCAGGACATGGATTTTTATATATTCTTTCATTTCAGATTACTTCCAATTTCCCTAGATTATGCTTTATCTATTCCATGTTTTGATTGTAAATGGATGTTTATAGCTTTTTCTTCTCATTTTGAGTCATGCTCCATCAGCAAACAAACATCTCAACAGCTTTGCTCCATTGATGTCATTACATTTGACTCTACTTTGAGGAGTAGCTCTTCCCCAGTAATATATTTTGAGTGCCTTCTAGCTGAGGGGCTCATCTTCCACCAGTGTTGCATTGCTATTTATAAAGTTTTGGAGGCTCATCCCTCAGAAGTGGATTGTGTATTCCTGCTTCTTCATCTGTTCTTAATCTAGATGCATCCCAGACTCCTGCCCACCATAGGTAACTCTGCTGCGATTTGAAATATCAATGGCATTGCTTCAAGCATCATAGTAACATGCAAGCCATCATAGTACAATGACTTGACAGGCAAGTGAGGTATGGATCATAAGGTACTCTATTGCTAATAGCAAACTTTACTTTTTAAAAAATTCTATATAAAACAAAGAAAAGGTGGGAATACCTATTATAAGATACCTTGATTAAAAATACCAGTTATTGTGGGAGGGATGAAGGGGAAAAGAGAAGCTGATACCAATGGTTCAAATGGAAAGTAAATGTTCAGAAAATAATGATGGCAACATATGTACAAATATGCTTGATACAATTGCTGTATGGATTGTTACAAGAGCTGTAAGAGCCACCAATAAAATTATCTTTTAAAAAACAGTTATCAGTAAAGGGGGTTGTGGTAGTTACATAATTTGTTGTCAATTTGAGGATGAAGAGTGAAGGAGTGGAGTCTAGTCTGTCAGTCAGGTCAAAGCCAATGAGGCCTCTATGTGGACATGGCCTTCTGAGGATTCTGGGAACTCCAGTATTCTTCCTTGGAGGCGGGAGACACTTTCTCTTTCTCTCTCTGATCACTTCCTGGGAGACATTGCAGCTGACAAGACACATGGAGACAGCCTGATGGGAGCCAGAGCCTCGCGGCTGGAGAAGCCACGTGGAGACCCCTGCCAGCACTGAGATGCTTACAATGCCACTAGATCCACAAGACTCCCCAACCACTGGCCTGTGATCTTCCTGCATTCAGCATCATTGTATGTGTTTTGTGAGTCTGAAGAGAACTTTATAGATTGGTGTTGGGCATATGGGCTAATGCCGGACTTATGGACTTGATTTGGACTGGTCTGGATGTTTTCTCAATATTCAATTGCTCTAGTATCTAAATAAAGCTCTTTTGTATACACATATGAAAGTCTATGAATTTGTTTCTCTAGTCAGCCCACACTAACACTGGGGTTGTAGTTCCTTTTTTCTTTTCTTTCTCTCCTTTTCTTTACATCACAAAATTGCTACCAGTGTATTCAGTCATGGATAACAGAAAGACATGCTGTTGAGTGTTTTACTGAGTAGGTGACAAAGCTGCTTTTGAATGCTGGTGGTTCTATGCCTTTGACCCTACATACTTTTATAATATGTGTTAATGCTATATGACAAAATGCTCTGATTTCTAGTGCCAAAGGGTTCAATTCAGTGTATATCACTGAACACACTCATCCATTTGTGCCTTTTTTCTTTAATGGTGCTCAAAGTAAAGACCCCTTCCTTTAACAGTCATCTATATTCTTTTTATCAACAACATAGGCAACATAGACATTTAGTCCTTGCCCAGAGTTTTGAACAATGGTGACTTGTTACATGGTTTCAGTATTCGTGTCTTATGCATGTTCTAACATGACAGACACAATGCATTGTCTAGTTACAGTTTCTGGATAAGTCGATCTTTTAGGAATTATTTTTCAGATCTTCAATAATTTTTTCTTTAAATTTCAGTACACACACACACACACACACACCAGTTTATCAGTTACTGTGGATTCAGTTTTGACGCCTGGGGTGCTCTGTGTGTCAGAGTAGACCTGTGTTCTCATAGAATTTCCAATGCTCATCCTTTCAGAAATAGATTTCTTCTAAAGTGCACCTGGGTGAATATGGACTTCCTGCTTTTCAGTTAGCAACTGAGCTCACCAATCACTTATATCATTGACTGCCCCAAACCTGAATTTTGAATTGCACCTTTGGTACCAAGAGACTTTAGAACTGTAAAGCATTGCATCTTGGAACAACCCAGGGGTAGGTAAGAAGTTGGCCTTCCTTTTGTAATGTAGGAGAAAGGAACATAACACATCTTTTGTGATAAGAGAAGATGGTATAAAAGAACTAGTATGATAATTAGACCAATCAGAGGCATATTGTCAGGTAGAACAGCTGTAGGAAATAATTACATAAAGTTGATTCCTTTAAAACAATTTGTGCCATTTTAGGTTTTGAAATGTCTTCCTTTACTTACAGAGGTATGCATTACCTCAGCTAAAGATTACAATTAAGGACAGACTTTTTCTATGGATGAGGAGCCCTGATGGTTTAGTGGTTACTCATAGGGCTGGAATCTGAAAGGTCATCAGTTTGAAACCACCAGCAGCTCCTTGGGACAAACACTGGGCTTTCTACTCCAGTAAATAGTTCCAGTCTTGGAAACCCACAGGGGCTATTTATGAGTCAGCATTGACTCGATGGCAGTGAGTCTGGTTTTTGGTTTTATCTATGGATAGAAATTGACTGATGGCCCTGATGTGTAAGCAATAGTTCAAACTTAACAGTTTCTTTGAAGGAGAAAGATGCAGCTATCTGTTCCTGTAAAAATTTACAGCCTCAGAAGCTCTGCTGAGACTGAAATGACTCAGTGGCAGTGGGCTATCTGTGAATGACACCCCAGAAATGGACTGTTGGACCCACGTTGATCTTGTCAGCCACTCACACAGAGGAAATGATTTGTACCAGTAGTTTTAAACTTAAAAAAATGTATATACATAGGATTTGACAAGTTTCTCTTGAATCAGTAATGAAAAATTATTAGATTTTTTTTTTTATCACCCATTCATATGTTTATTTAAGTTAGAGACCCAATATATCCTCACAGCCAGCCTGCAGTGTTTTGAGGGTTATTGGCTTTCAAGGTGTTTGTATTTTTTAACATTTAAAAATCAGATTTCATATAAAAATGTAGATTTTATTGAATATTGAGTAATATGGCAAAGCTAGATCTACATTTCCACATGAAATTTCCACATTTTCCACTTTAAATCAGCTATATTTTAACTATGTTTATCGATTTAGACAATACATGTGGTTTTAATTCAGTCATTTATGTCTCTAGCTTCTATAAACATTATTTATGTTTGTGACTCCTGATCTTGGAATAGTCTTCTGGTATCTTTTCTGGTTGTTGAGAGCAATTTAGAATATATGTCAAAGTCTTTTAAGGGATGCGTACATTTAAGTTAACAGTTCCATTTCTAGATGAAAATGCCTAGTGAGATATGCAAAAGTATATATTGAAAGATGGTAATCAAATTGTTTTTGCATTAGCAAAATTTTAGGTTTAACCTAATTATCCATAAAAAAGGAATTGGTTAGATATAGCACCTAATATTTAATATACTAGAATAGCAAATGACCATTAAAAAATGTTGATTAAGGTTCATCATCAACATTTTTGTAAAGATTCATTGCCAAACTTTGTTTGTAGATATAATTTAACTTATAGAAAAGAGCTTCATCATCAAAATGGCAAGTGCGATAATAAACTTTCTTTTAAGTAATAACTTAGTGTTTCTGCAGAATTCTGCACTTTACCTGGTCATTATCAGATAGTGTTGACTTGTTTCAATTTGTCAGGTTTAGGAAGCATTAACTGTCAGCTAGCTGGTGACATGTTTGATATGAGAAATGTTTTTTTGTTACACAAATGGAATATATTGTCTCCTTTTCTAAGCCAAGACTAATATTTTGTTTCCAAAGGAAAACTGAAACATTTTCCACATTATTCTTTCTGGACAGTTGTAGGTTTTGTTCTAAAAGCAACATTCATAGATTCTCATTTTTCTTATCAAACTTGGCATAGGCCAAATACTTTTATGAATTCACTTTGTTTATTTGTTTACTTGAGTTTGAAGGTTTACTTGATGTGAAATCACCAGTTTTGCAAAATAAATGAGAGCAAAACTACTAATGTTATTCTCTAGAGATCCAAAGGCAAACTTTAGGGAATCTTAGAGAGCCTGACATTTTCTAGAGATGCACTATATTCTAAATTACTTATTTTCTTTTGCCCTTTTCTAGAAAATGCAAGTTCAAACATATATCTTTAATAAATTATTTATTAGACAGGCTTTGCTTTTTAAATGTTTTTTTTTCAGCGTGATAAAAGTAAAATTGGAATACTTTATGTTTATAATCTGATGTAATGGAAATTCAATTTCACATGAATTTAGATGTTCATATGTAATAATGTTGTGATAGCTTGGCTTAGTAACTAAGATCTAAGAACACAATGAGAACAGATATTATATGTGAAACTTCCAAATTAGTGATAAATTTCTCTTTAGGGTCATGTATATAATGTTTTCTCATACTTAAGAATGTCGTCTTTAAAGCTCTGTTTACTCACTAGTTTGTTCTTCATACACTTAGCATAAGATTATTTAAGTTTACCATCTCATCTACTTTTAAAAAATATTTTCCCTACAGTTATGCAGAAGGCATGGAGGGAACGAGATCCTCCAGCTCGAATCAAAGCAGCCTATCAAGCTTTAGAATTAAACAATGAGTAAGTTTGACATACGTGGGAAATAAGTTGTTTCGAAGGGGACCAGGCAAATAATTTTGTTTCCATTTGTATGATCCAAGGATATTTGGAGTCATTAGCAGAACCCTTCCTGTTTTTGCATACAATAGAAAAAAATCTATAGTGCTCACTGACATCTGTGTTTTTCTTCCAAGACTCTAAATTTATCTGTATTTTTGCATAAAATATGCTAGAAATACTTTTTAAATGGAGAATGATAATCTAATTGGTGATAATCATTGATAAAGTTAAGCCAGTACTAAATACTTAACATCACTAGTTTGTTTTCCATTTAAAACATTTATTCAGTTCTGGGACCTTCGGTTGTTATTAGCCTTAGAAGCATGACAATAGGAGTCAAAATAAGTAAGACATAGTTCTATTAGTATATTTTTCCTTTGTTTGCTTTTCTTATGTCAATATTTTCAATAGCTTTTTGTACTAGTTTTATGTTTTATATTTATTGTTTAATGTAATTTCTAAATGAGACAGTACATTAAGTATGACTATGTACATCAAATAAATACCAAGAATAAAAATATCCCCGTTTGGAGTAATCAGTGAATGTTCCTGAGAAAGTCTCAAGTTCTCACCTCTGATTACTCTTCAGGCACTGTACAAGTGGAAAGTGAAGGCTAAGATAGAATTGTAAACTGTCTGGTTATAGGGGCACCCCAGCACACATACAGAGCCCATCTGCAGACACTGAGAACGTTTTTTTATTTTGTTTTGGACCCAGCCATTTAAGAATGCTCTAGCTAATCACTAAGCTAACAGAACAGAGACTTCAGCGACAAAGAAGTCAGAACTTCAAAATTAGTTCAGAAAAGTCATGAAAAAAAACAGGTAAAATAAGAATCAACCACAAACTGAAAACTGGACATTTTGAATATTAGCAACTCAGAAAATAACTGAAATGTACAGAGTAAACTTGACGGGAATCAAATGGTACATGACAAAAATACCTATAAAAAGAGAAAGCAGGAATGAAGAAATTGATGAACAAAAAGTATAAAACATATTGGAAAAATTAGTAAAATGACAGAAATAAGTCCTTATCATTAATTACATTAAATGTAAATGGATTAAGCACTCCAATTAAATGGCAGAAATTGGCAGAATAGAGTATAAAACAAACCAAGATATGATAAAAGTGTATGATATTTAAGGGATTTACTTTGTATTCAAAGGCATAAATAGGTGGGGGGGGAATTAAAGTATAGAAAATAATAGTCCAGACTTCAGAAAGATGGAGAATCAGGCAGACTCACTACACAGACCTTCTATAATAAGGAGACTAGAGACCTGCTGTAACAGATACCGACGATAATACTGGAACCTTGAGCTTCAGAAGAAAGGATAGAGAACCAAACAAAGGATTCAATACCAACTAGTTGAAGAAGCTGAACAGAAGTGGCCACACAGGAGACAGGTGAATTGTTGATTTCCCTGACACAGCTCAGTCATCTTGAACTTTTGCCAGCAACATTCCATCCAGGCACACTGGGAGCTATCAACAAGAAAGGTGGGATCCTTACTTGTTCACTATATACTTCATGTAAGCAGAAATATGACCATCCCCCATCCTTAGCCACCCAGCTGCTGGTGATATTCCACTTTTTACCTCACCGCTGCCCCAGTGCAGCTTTTACTCTGCCTGAGACTGGAACCTTGAACGGAATGGGGTGCTGAGTGCACCACACCTGTGTCTACAGGTGCATGAACTCCCCATCATCAGACCAACAGAACATTCAATGCCAAGTCCATAGCTACCCCCCAGATGGGCAGGAAACTCCTTCCATATCTGGCCACCCTGGCCCCAGGGTGCCCTGTAGGCCTAAAAGAATTGCTTCTAGGAAAAAGCACCCTGACCTCAGCCACCATTTAAGCCCATTTAAACTACTTGCATATCAGCTGCTCTGAACCCAGAGAGCACAGCAAACAATGATATACACACTCACATTCTGTATTATACCTATCAGGGAATAGGATGTATCACAAACATATAATCATCAATTAAATACTTATGCAACAGCAGTTAACAATATACTACCCAATAAAGAATTCAAAATAATATTTAGACTTCTTAAATGGAATGAGATAAAGATTGAGAAAACTACAGACAAAATCAAGAAAAACAAAAACTTTAGAAGAATTCAGGAAAACACTAAACAAGTCTGTAAACTAAATGAAAAATTAGAAACCATATAAAAATAGCAAATAGAAATCCAGAAGATTAATATTAGTATTTCACAAATAAATTATGCAGTGAAAGAGCAAAGTAGCAGAACTAAATTAAAGGAAGGCCTTATTAATGAGATTGAAAACAAATCTTCCTATACTAGGCTGCTAGAACAATAAGAACAAATCTGAAGAAAGTCTAATAATTAAGTGGGCATAATCAAAAGGAACAACTTACATGTGATCACCATTCCAATGCAGGAAGAAGCAACAAAATTCACAGTCAAAATTGTCAAATAGTTATTGGAAGAAAACTTCCTTTCATCATGAAAAATGAGAAGCTATACACTCAAAAAGCTGAATGACAAACTGAATAGAAAGAACCCCAACAAAAATTACCATGGCATTACCATAATCAAACTTTTCAAAACCAAACCCAAGGAAAGAACACTCAGAGCAGCTTGGGGGAAAATAAATTACCTACAAAAGAAAACCTTTAAGATTAAGCTCTGATTTATCAGCAGAAACTATGCAAGCTAGAAGACAGTGGGATGACATACAAAACTGAAAGAATAAGCTAAACTGCCAACCAACAGTCATAGAGCCAGCAAAAGTAAAATTGTTCCTCAAATACAGTGGTGGAATTAGGACATTTTCAGACAAACACAATGCAAAACTAATATATTCAACAAATTTTCAGGATGTCAAATTAATATACAATAATCTATTGTGTTTTTATCCTATAGCAATAACAAGGCAAAGTAAAATTGGGGAAATATTTTAGTTTATAATATTTTTCAGCAGAATAAAATACTTAGGAACAAATGTAGCCAGGAAAATACATGACTTGTACACTAAAAATTACAAAATACTGCTGAAAGAAGTTAATGAAGACTTAAATACAGAGAACCAACATCTCATTCATTAGGTTTGAAGAATTAATATTGTTAAGATAGTAGTGCTCCCCAAATTGAGCTACAGATTCCATGTCATCTCTATCAAAATCCCAACTGCCATTTTACCAATAGGCAGACTTATCCTAAAATTCATATGGAACTGCAAAGGCTCTGCATGACTAAAGAAATCTTGAAAAAGAAACATTTGGAGAACTCATAATTTCTGATTTCAAACTATAAAACAAAGCTACAGTAATCCAAACAGTGTGCTACTACTACAAGGACAGGTCTCTGGATCAATAGATTACAATTGATGGGTAGAAATATACCCATGCATGTATGTCAGTTGTTTTTAGATATTGGTGCCAATATTGTACAGTGGAGAAATAATAGTTGCTTCAACAAATAATACAGACTCAACTGGATAGCCAAAAGCAAAAGCACAAAATTGGTTCCTTATCTCATACTATATACAAAAATTAACCCAAAGTGGACCAAAGACCTAGATGTGAGAGCTAAAGTGCAAAACTTTTAGAAGAAAACATAAGGGTTAAATATCCAAAGCCTGTGAATACTTAGATATAATACCAAGCCTTACATAACAAAAGAAAATGTAGATCAACTGGACTTAATACAATTTAAAAGCTTTTTAATTTTTGTAATAAATAATCAAGAAAGTTAGAGATAACTCATAAAAGAAGAGAAAATAATTGCAAACCATACATCTGATAAGGATATAGTA